GCAACGCATTTCCTCCAACAAGGCCACACCTCCTAATCCTTCTAATCCTTTAAAATCCTGCCACTCCCTGGTGACTAAGCATTTAAATATATGGACCAAAGGGGTCATTCTTATTCTAAACTATCACAAGGTAAGATAAAAGCAGCTTTTATTTCAGCTACTGGACTGTTTTTACCTCAGACTTGTTCTTGAGAGATTTTTTTTAATAACTTAGATATATTTTTTCTTGTTACATATCGATTGTTAGGATCACAAATTATAATTTTATAATTTTCTTTATGTCTGATTTTATTGCTTTATCTTTCACCTTTTGTCTTTCACTGTTCTTCTAGTAGAACCTGTGAGTGTTTTATGCGTGCTGTGTGTGGTGGTAGGTGCTAGAGTTACAAAGACAGTGAGGAATGATCATTGAAAACAGGGTGCTGAGAACTACAAGGGAACTGGCTGGGCACACAAATAGATGACTGGGACATCTTCTCACAAGCCAGGAAAATCTCAAATACACGGGGCATGTGGGTAGATGAGCAAAACCAAGAAGTGAATGCAATTGCCCTGTATCAACCTCTGTAGACCCGTTAGCCAGCTGGGGTCTGAGATTAGATGCTGAGTTTTGCTAAGGAGGAACTAGCTCAGGATGGATGGATAGACAGATGCATATATGGACAGATGGATGGGCAAGGCAGGCAGATTCATGAATGTTGATGCCATAACACATAGCAAAAGAATCCTAGAGAGAAGAACCCAGTATTCTGGAATCTCCCAGTTCCTTCTGGGTGATAGTTTTGGTGTCTTAAAGGCCTTTAGGGTTGAGTGACTTAGAGACTGGAAATTAGTTAAGAAAATATTGACTCAGAAGCAATTCACTGTTTGAGAAGATAAACCAAGTTCCAGACTAGATTTGAGGGCTGGAGAAAAGGCAAGTGGGTAGGGTGCTTGCTGTATAAACAAGGTGACCTGAATTTGGTCCCTAGAACCCATGTGAAAAATTGGGGCATAATTGGTAAGCACTTGTGGTCCTGGAAATGGATAGGTAGTGATAGCAGGATCCCTAGTATTCTGTGGCTCTCGAGATCAATTAATTTGCTCCCAGCAAACCATAAAGTAAGGTGGACAGTTCTTGAGGAAGGATGACACTCAAGGTTGATCTCTGTCTTCTACATGTGTAAGCATGTACATATGCACCTATACACATATGTACCCACAAGAAACCCTCACTCCCATGCTACAGAGAAAAAACTAGGCTTGACCCTTTATGTCTCTGATAAGTCTCATGGGAGACTGGGATCTTATACAGAGCGGCTTCAAGTGATGGCTTTCTTACGGGCAGTCCGACTGGCTCTGCCCACTCAGGACCTCTTCCATAGAGAAGAAACCCCTGCTGGGGGCACCTGAGTCATCTAGGCCTGGCTGTACTTGGCAGGCAGAGGGGGAATCATGTAATCTTCCGGTTTAACTGGGCAGGGGTCACTTTTCCCATTCAGCCTTGGCCCAGACTTTATGGAGAAGGGTTAGTTCATTTCAAATCTAGAGGGTTCTCACCCGTCCCTTCCAAGATTCCCCTGTCTTTCCCTTCCTGTGGCTCCCTATTTGGTACTCACCTCTGTCTCTGTTCCAGATTTCTGTGCCTCTGTGCTGCAGGTCACTTGGTTTCTTTGCCTTCAGACTCTTTTCTGTGTTGTCCAGCTTTCTTCTTAACTTCCTTTTCAAATTTACTTTCTTTCTTCAAATGAGCAGTCCTTTTGAAGCAAGTAATCGTCACACTTTCTCAATTTTTGTTTTGCCAAAATAAAAAAATAACAATAACGACAACGATGACAACACTCAGTTTGTTGAACGTAGAAGTACCCTGTTTACTGGGAGTCTTTTGCAATGGCAGAATCAAGGACTGGCTGTTACTGGCTTATAGGCCAACTGGTCTGCCAGTTTGTGCTTGCTCATTTAGTTCTCTGCAACCATATTATAGCAAACTTCTACCTCTTATAACTCCTTCCATTAAGTAATTCACTGAAGATTTTGGAAAGAGGAACCAATATTCTTAAAAGGGACGGTAAGGAGAAGGAGGGAGGGTTATTAAAAAAACACAAAACAAACCCAAACCTTCAACCATTCGGTTACACTAATGGCCCTCATATTATGGTGGCATAATTATAACTAAAAGGCAGAGGGGAAAACAAGCATGTTTGGTAGGTGTACTCTCTGTTCTCTGTCTTGTTTTTCTGCTCTGAAGTATGGTGCTGTCTTGACATAGGGATGTAACTGCTATGAATATTGATGGCATTGCAGCCAAAGCTTTTTTTCTGTCTGGCCTAGTAAATAAAGCAGAGAGGATGAAAGGGAAAAGGAATTTTCAAGTCAGTGTGCTGTTTTTAGATTATCTTGTTCTCTTAGAACCAGGAGTCTTGAAAGCATATTGATGGTGTACATTTGGTGGTGGGGAGCTCTGAGTACAGCAGGTGGGTATTTTCAGAGATTTGGGCCTCTGGTTAAAGACACATTTTATTTTTCTTTGAGCTCTCAGAGTTCATGTTCCCTCCTGCACCTCTACATGTCTCCCAGCGCAGCCAAAGCCTCACCCTCGCTGCATTTATTGTATTGTCAATGGGGGAGTGGGTGCCGTGTGGGTGTGTCTTCAGGTTCCACTCAGGATATGGCAAGGAGCGGAAAAGAAATCTGGGTTGCACACAGAGCAGCAGCCGGCAGGTCTGCATGTGGCATGGCGGGGTCATGGTTGTCCAGGTGCTGCTCTGGGAACATCTTCAGGGCTGCTTGGCCCGGAGGATCTGACTGTGTGAGGGGAGGAAGGGACAGGAGTGGGAAGGATAGCCAGAAGTTTGAGGGAGGGGTACACAGGATGAGCCGGCCAGGAATGTATCCAGGAGGCATAAATGGGTGGGGATTGGGTATGAGTTAGGGCTTTAAAATTGTAAATATATTTTTCCTGTCTAACTCAAAAGAGAGTTGTTTTGTTTGTTTGCTTTTAGACTGCTGTCTGTGATGGTGTTCCAAGGATCCAGGGAGCACCAGAGGGCGGGTTTGGAATGATAGGAGCCAGGGTTGGCTAGGTAGCTCAGTGGGTGGGGATGCTTGCTGCTAAGACTCATGACCTGAATTCAATCCCCTGAACCCACACAGTGGAAGGAGAGAACTAATGCCTGCCTCTGCCCCCCCCCCCACACACACATGTGGGGGCCCAGACAGGACATGTTAAAAGCCAAGAATGGTGTAGGGAATGCAAAGCTGATCAACTGGCTTTTCTATAACCAGTGGACAGTCAAAATAGTGGGCACTGTCCTGGATGCACAGGCTGCAGTTAGACAGTGCCCTGGGACCCAGAGGGAAGATGCTGCTGACAAGCATGAGAAAGGTCTGTCCTGGGGCAGCCCAAGCCAGGAGCTAGCTGTCTGGCAGCAGAGGCCTGCAGCCTAGGGCTAGCTCAGACAATATCTCCACTGAAATGCAGAAGAGTTCCGCATCTGTTGCAGGGGTGTGTTTGCGTGCGTGCGTGTGTGTGTGTGCGTGTGTGTGTTTGTGTGTGTACGTGCGTACGTGAGTACATAGAGATGTAAATGTTTTAAGGAAGGCAAGCCTGTAAGAATCATCCTGAAGAGAATCTCTTAAAAGGTGATTTCCAAAATAAGAAGTTCCAATCCAGAAGCATTTTCTTTAAAAATCGTAAATTTGCATTTTTAAATACGCGTCTAAGATAGCGGTCACACGTGACAGCAGTGTCTGCCTTCTCCTGCGTGACAGGTCAAAGGGAAGGGCACAGGAGCTTTGGCTGACGTTTCTGGTTTCCACACAGATGGAGAAGTTCTTCTGCTAACTCTTGTGATTTTAGAGGTTCTCTGTGTTCATGCTTGAAACTCCCGTGTGTCCTTCAAGAGTGGGACCAGGGTTGGGATGTTTCTCTATTCCTGGCTCCTTCTGCAGTGCCTGTCATGTGGAGGAGAGGCTCCCTCTTTCCTGAGCCATACTTCGTGTATACTTCCAAAACAGGCATAGCAACAAGTGAAGTGCGTGGGTCTAAGGATTGGGGCTCCTAAGAAAGATAGCCCACAGAGAAAAGTTCTCATCGTTGATGATTTTTTTCTTCGTTGAGTAGATTGAAGCCAGAGAATGTTGGTTGGTTATATGTGGCCCTGTCCGTCTGGGCTTCTTTCAACACTGGGTCTGTATAAAGAAAACATTTAGAGAAGGAGCGGATGTGTGTAGACCTGTTGATCAAGGCATGCTGTCTGCTTGCGGAGCCACGTGGGTTGGAGTTGGGGCGCAGCAGGGAGTACTGTCGGGGTATGTGGCAGTCAGATGGCAGCAGCCATGGGAATGGAGATAGAGGCAGGCTGCATCCCCAGGAGGCTGCTCAGGGCTCCATCACTGGTGCCGAATAGGAGGAGGAGGCATGTCAGTCATTGGGCAGTATCTGTGGCATCATTCACTGCCTTCTACTATGTGGGTGAGGCCAGTCAGATCCAGAGTACAATATGTACTTGTCCAAGGTCACCTTGCCATGAAGTGACAAAGCTGGCTTTAACTTGAGATGTCAGAGAAGAACCCAAGAGAAAAATAAGGGTTGGGACCAATACATCTTCTTTCTTCCAGAGGGCGTTCTGTTCAAAGCCATTGTTGTAATCCTTGTTTTATCTTTGTGCTTCTCTGGGCCTGACCTGGTAATCGCAGGGTAGTAATCATGCTGTGTTGTACAAAAGTGTGCAAATAGAAAACATGTCTGCTACGCCCTAGGCAGACTCATTGCACATGCGTCAGGGCAGGCGGCAAAATGCAATAATACAGCCTGGGGTGATTGTGCTTAAGCTGCTTCTGAAAACTTCAGCCTTAAAATTAAATGTTTTCCCTGCCCAGGGGCAGGGTAGTGGCTCTAGTTCTCATGATGAAATTGTAAGGGGAAATGCTTATGTTTCTAAGCTGTTGGTTCTAATCATTGTTTCTTTCTTTTCACCCCTTCCCTCTCTCCCCCTTGGTGCATTTGTTTCTCTTCACAGGAAAAAGTAGAATATGCCTTCCTGATTATTTTTACAGTGGAGACATTTCTGAAGATTATAGCATATGGATTGTTGCTGCATCCTAATGCTTATGTTAGGAATGGATGGAATTTACTGGATTTTGTTATAGTAATAGTAGGGTAAGTCCCTCCCACTTTGGGGAAATATTTATCTGAGAAATGGGAGTGTGGGCTGGGTGGTAAAGGGAACACAAGGCGATGGCGACAGGACCCTTTAGGACTTCTTTTAACGCTGGCAGGGCTGCTGTCAATCCCTGGGTAGAGTGAGGGTGAAGATCTCGCATGCCGGATGCTGTGCTTGGGGAAGTCAGTGACATGCTGCTGAAGGAAGTCTCAGCTGCTAATGAGAGATGATTCACCTCCCAGGGCCTTGAGTTTCCACAAATAGACCTGCCTTGCTGGCGGGGGGAGTCAAGTGAATATATCTCCTAAAACTTAGCACCCTGCTGGTTAAAAACATGTGTATCACATGATAAAGACTTTGTAGCTGCGAGGTTTTCTGCCCTTTAATATCCCTTGAGCAAAGCTATTCTGTTTTTATGCTGACTTGTGGGAGAAACTCTGGCATGCCATTTTCCCATTTTAAATAACAAAGCAAGCATCTGAATAATGTCACATATCCGGCATAAAATAAAATAAGCTAGAAAATGCAGAGAAGCAGGTGTTCTTTCAAAACCCTGTTGCAAGAGGAAGATGCTGGTAGAGTTAGTTAATGGAGAATGTTAGAATGAAAAATAGAGGTCTGTGTTGTCCTGTTTCTTCTACACTCTGAAATGTTGCCAGCAGAGGAAACACAAATCAGGTCTTTGGAGCAAACATCCACCAAGGAGGAAAAGATATAGCCCTGTTTTGGGACTTCTTACCTTAGTGTTCTAAAAGCTTCTTCTAAAGTTAGGCTTGTTTCCTTCAAGAGAGCGTTAAAAAGATTTATGTATTTTTACTTCATGTGCAGTGTTTCACCTGTAAGTGTGTCTGTATACTACATGAATGTCTAGTGCCCATGGGATCTAGAAGAGGGTATCATATCCCTCAAACAGGAATGACATATGGTTTAGAGCCACTGTGTGTTTGCTGGGAATCAAACCCCTGTCCTCTGCAAGCATAGCAAGTGTTCTTCACTGCTGAACCATCTCTCCAGTTTTGAGAGTGCTTTTAAAACCATCCCTCTGTTTCCATATTTGTGGCTTTTCAGCTGCCTTTTGTAGTTGAGCAACTTGGGTTTTCTTTTGGATTATCTATTTATATCCGTGATTCCTCTGGTTTTTCAATGAAGATGACTTTTCCCACCCGTTTAGAGACCAGCCTAAGTTTGGGGATGTCCTTTAACCCTAGGAGATAAAAATGGGACCAAAAGTGGTGGCCTATTGGATAGTTAGACTTATAGGGAAGAAAGTTAGGCTTTATAAAGCCTTCCATTGTACATTGACACCCAAGTCTGTATTGCAGAGGTAATGTATCTCAAATGAAGAGGTGGCAGATAGGCGTGAAGGCAAATACCTCCTTTTATTTGGCACACCTGTCAGGGAGTGGCATGCTGGAGCCTCAGGTGTCCCCTGGTTCTGTGAGGATCCTGTTGTGCCTTTCCTGCCACTGGGCTTTTATTAGACTAGAGAATGGAGACACTTAGCTTCGTTTCTTACGTCCCCAGGCTGGGATCACTTTGGTGTAATTTTATGCTGGAACATTTTGCCCACAAAAGAACAGCACAGGAACAGGGAACCAAGCCAATGTGTGGTGGTCTTACCACGTTTAGGAAACTTCAGAAGGCCTGAGAGGGAGAGAGTATCCAGAGAGCAGTAGAGAGAGCTCTGTGCACGTGCTTGAGATTCCCTGGAGTTGGGCTGAGACTCAGCTACATTCCATTAGTCTAAGCAAAGAAGACTGTTAGGGACAAGAGAAAGTCAGGAAGTAGGAACTATAAGATAAATAATAACCAGAGTTTACTCAAGACTGAAAAGTGTTTGTAATCCAAATACCCAGAGCAAATTATTGCATTGAACACTGTGGACAAGTAAACAGCCCCAGAGAGCTGTAGTAGTGGAGTTACTTAGATCTAGACTATAGTTGGCAAACTATGGCCAGGGTACCAAATTCCAGCCCATCTGGTCTGCCACCTATTTTTATAAATAAAGTTTTTTTGTAGCATAACAGCACTCATTTGTTGACATCATTGAGTTGAGGAGTCCAGTCTATAAAGCCTTAGAATATTTACTGCCTGTCCCTTTACAGAAAAACTCTGCTATTCCTGCTCTAGAGTAAAGACTCTTTGAAGCTTTGATAACAGTGTTGGAGAAGGAGTCTGAGGGAGAGAGAACTGATAAGCTTAATTACCTGAAAAAGAAGACAAGGCTTCTCAAAGGAAAAATAAAATCTAAATACTTAGATGATTATTTTCAGTGCCTTACCTAGAGTCAAGTAATACTAGACATATGGAGAAGTGTGATCCCTAACCAAAGAAAATTTTGTGACTAGAATCAGACCCAGAAATTACAGAGATGATGCAAGGACTTTATAAAGGTTTAAAATAGCAACTATGAATGTGTTATGGGCTTAGGTTAATATATGAGAACAATGGGGAAAGACAGGACAATAAAAGAAACACATGGGAATTCAAGAACTGAAAAGTGCATCTAAAATGAAAGATTCCCTAGATTGGTTCATGAGCATATTAGATAATACCTAAGACAAGACATCAGGAAACTTGAAGATATAGTAATAACAATTAAGGAAAAGCAACACTACCTCACTGATTTGTGAATTAGCAAAGGAATCTTAGAAGAAGAGAAAGGCTGAAGAGATACCTCAACAATTAAGAGCACTGTCTGCTTTTGTAGAGGACATGGGTTTGGTTCCCAAAACCCGCATGGCGGCTCACAACTATCCAGATCCAGATCCAAGGGATCCATGCCCTGTTCTGGTGTTTACATAAAACACATAGAGGCATATATACACACATAATAAATACACCAATAAATCTTTTTTAAAGGGAAGAGAGAGAAAGGGAGACAGAAAAGAAAATTCCTGAAGTAATGGTTCTAAATGTTTCAAATATGATGGAAAATGAACTCACAAGTTCAAAATGCTCAGAAATGCTTTATCAAAAACCCAGAGAAAAACATGTCACAACCATGGTAAAAAATGCTAAAATAAACAAATTAAGAAACCAACCAACAGTAAAGAGAATCTGGAAACAGAAAAAAGACACCTCGGCCTTTTCATCAGCTGTATAAGATAGAAGACAATAGACACATCCGCAGAGTGTTGGGGAAATGTAAGCTCAGAGTCCTCATCTAGTGAAGTTCCTTCCAAAACCCAAGTCAAAATGGAGACTTTTTAAGAAAAACCAAAGGTGAGAATTTGTGACTGCCAGCCTTACACCTCCAGAAACACTAAAAGACAGCTTTTCAGGCTGAAGAAAAAAATGACATCAGGTAGAAATGAAGATCTATACAGGAAATGACGAATTCCATACAGTGTAAACTTGAACATATTCTCATTTTAAAACCTTTAAAGGTAATTGTCTGAAACAAAAACAATGACAACACACTGTGACATTTACACCTTTGGTAACATCTTAGGGTAACACAGAGAGAACAGAGAGATCATTGTGGGCTGTTGTCAAATATGCCTATAATGCTAGAATGATAAATGCTGTTTGAAGTTAGACCATGAACCATTGAAAGTATATATTGTAAACCCTGGTGCCCAGATTGTCAGACTATCCACCCTCCACCCGAGAGCCTGGAGACATCTCTAGATAAAGCCCATTTCTCCACAGTAGCTAAGCATTTTGACATCTTCCTTGGCATGTAAGATTTTATTGTAACCCAGCTATGCTTACATGTGTGACTGTTTGGTTTACTTGATGTTTAATGGCAACATTTGTTACCCCAGAGATCCTGCAGTCTTAAATTTTTAAAATATCCACTCTCGCTTCACAGAAGACTTCTGTTGACACTTTCCCTACAAGAGTCACTAGAAACACAGAACTTTAGTTATTAATATTAAGACAATAGTGGAGACTAGATGCATTACAAAGAAGCTCAACAAGAAGAAAAAAGTCAATTCAGGAAACTATGTAGAAGGGAAAAATGAAAGTAAACAGAAAACAAAAAGCAAAATGGAAGGTTTAACTCAGCAGAGCCCTAAATAATACCATGAGTTTATCAGATGCCAGTTATGAAAAGAGAACTCGCTTTCTAATGTCTCTCTTTAACCTTTTTAATGCAAAGACAAATAATTTGTGAATAAAAGGATAGAGAAGGCAGGCAGAGGGGCTATATCAACATCCAACAAAGCAGACTAGAGAGAGGAGTTGTCAGGCGTACAAAGAGAGACATTTCACAACGATACAGGGTATTTGTGAAGATGATGTAAGAAGCCTCATTCAGAGTTTCTGAAGCAAACACTGTTAGGACTGAAGGAGGGCGGAAAGACGTGTCTTTACACTGAGCACCCCACTGCTCTGCACTGGAGTATGGAGTGTGGGAGCTTTGAACAACCCACCCATCACCTTGACTTTTCCATAGGACTTTCTATCAGTAAGAGCAGAATGCTCATTCTTTTCACATATACATGAAATATTCATCAAGAGAGTTAATATTCTGGACCATAAAATAAATCTTAGTGAATTTGAAACTAAAATCATAATTGTTTTCTGAATGAACCTAACAGTGTTTCTGAACAAAAAGACACTATAAAAATAGAGACTTCTATTAGCCATGGGCAATTAGACAACAAAAAAATTAAATATTACTATTTACAGTGGCACCAAAACTATAAAATATTTAGGTGCAGATAGCTCACTGAAATGTCAGCGTCTTCATGGGAGGAACCAAGGAAGAGCTGAGGAAAGAGTGCATTGTCATGCTCATGTGTTGGAAAATTCAATAATCTTAAGTTTCTGCTTCTTCCCAAATCAAGGTACAGCTTGAGTGCTAATCTAAATTCCAGCAGACTCTTGAAAAGTTGGCAAGATTTGTTTTAGCATTTATATGGAAATTAGGGAGACTTTAAACTGGCCAAAGAAATCTTTAAGAAAAAAGCTGGAGCCTGGTCTTATGGCTTGCTCTAACGTTATTGGAGTCACGATAGTGTAATATTGATGGCAGGGGTTGACATGAAGATCAATGGCATCAAATAGGGCCATCTAGAAATAGACCCATGTGCATGCCATCAATTGATTTTAGAAAAAGATGCCTTGATAATTCAATGGCGTGAGGAAACTGTTTCCAGTAAACAGTGCTGAAACAACTATTTGTCAGTGTGAAAGGCTATTCTTACCTCATGCCATGTGTAAATGTAGCCTTCATAGACCATAGACATATTTACCATTTAAAACGAAAAAAGTTCACAGAGAAATACTGAAGAAAACCTTCATGTTTGTTAATCAGGCAAAGATTTCTGAGGCATACATGCTGTTGGTGAACTCCTAGAATTCCCTCACAGCTTCTGCAGGGGGCGCTCAGACGTTCAACCAAGATACAGTGAGTTGGAAGCAACCTGGAACACGTGAGATCCCATCGCAAAGGACAAAGAGGCAGAAAGTAGCACCCATCAAAAAGACAATGAAAAGATTAAAGTTTATCAGAGTTTAAAACTTTTCTTCAAAAGTCAGTGTAAAAAAGATGAAAAAAGCATTTCATAATGATACAGGGTATTTGTGAAGATGATGTAAGAACATAGGGGAAAAAAATTACAGAAATAAGGTCAGACCTTGATCAGGTATATACAATTCAACATGTATAAAGAACTGTTTGAGAAGATAATACACTATAGAATGAGTATCTGAATGCATCTTCGTTAAAAACAATGTGGCCGTCCCACAAGCCCCCGAACATTGTTAGTAATTTTAAAAATCTAGTTAAAACCACAGTAGCAGCACCATGTGCCTGCTGGCTCTACTGGGTGTAAAGAGACCAAAGATACCAAATGGTCGCCAGCACACGGGGTAACTGAGACTCATACACTTCTAAAACTGGAAGTGGTAAAACCACCTAGAAAGATTTTTCCCCACGTTTGTCCAGTATTAAAAACATTTGCCATGCGACCATATTACTAGTTTTCTGGTTTTTATCCGAGGAAATGAAAACACATGTCCACAGAAAGACTTTATTCAAAATAGAGGGAAACTAAAAATAGCTTGCTACAGAGCAAGTAATTTGACAAAATCATCATGGCATGTTTATTTAACTGAATATTTTATTTAACAATAAAAGAAGCTAATAAATGTAACAACTTGGATGAATCTCCAAAAGTATGGCAAGCAAAAAGGCATAGCATGTGACTCCTTTACATTATTTCCAGAAAAGGAAACTGCCTGCGTAGACGAGTGGCCAGCCCATTAGTGGCAGCCATGTTCGGGGAGGGTCGCTGCCAAGGCGTCCTGGAGAGTGCTAGAGATGATGGCCTCATCTGTGTTGACAGTGGTTGTTTGCAGCGTCCCCTTACGTGCTTGTCATAACACAGCTGACCGAAACCTTAAACAGATTCATCTCTCACATATAAAACAAACTGCTGTGAAGCTGGTTGCAAAGATGAAAAGTAACAAGGTAGGGCTAGAGTCAATGCATTTCTTGTTAGTATAAAAAACCCTCACAGATTGTTTATCTAAAATACTAACTCACTACCTACCACAATGAAAAAAAAAAAAAAACCCACAAAGTAAAATTCTTACTAAATTATGGTAGGTCATGGCAGGAGCAGAAGAAAAATTATAAAAAAGAGAAAGATCAATTATGATACCTTTGTTTGGATATAATTCCCATTCACTAAAGTTTCCATCTATAGTCTGTTTCTCTGTCCAATGAGTTTTCCATTCTGAGTCCATAGTGATCTGTTACTTTTGTCAAGATTCCCACTAAAAGAGACCTTAAGAAAGTAGCCTGTAGCTCTTAGTAATGTGAGCACACGAGGACCCAGGACCCTACTTGTAGCTGCAGTTACTACCTTTAAAGTAAAGCTTTGTCTGGGTCGAACCTCACCTCACCCCTTTGGGTTCTCAGTAAGGGCATATCTTAAGCATTCAAGCTTGTCACCCACGATTTTGTGAAAAAGAACATGGTGTCCCCATTCTGGGGCACCTGGCCTTGGTCAGTTGGGCATGTCGTTTCCTCCTCTTAGGGTAAACTGTCTAGGACCTTAAATTTCTGCTTCCTTCTCCTGTCCATATCTGTTCAGGTACTGAGGAACATGGTGACGACATCATCATCATCATCATCATCATCATCATTATTATTATTGGCAGGGGTGGGAGAGAAATAGACTATAGAATCTGAAATCCTTAATTAAGTTTTCTCATTTTACGGAGAGGGAAACCGAGCCCCATAGGAGAGGGGCGTTGCAGCACATAACAACTTCAAGCCAGCTTCTCGTTCTGACTCAGGCTCTTTTGAAGTGGCAGAGACATTATTCACCTGTTTTCAAGGACAGTCTGAAGAATGGGGGATGAAATGACTGTGAGGCCCGCACTGCACACCCGCAATACCTCTGCAGTCGTCAGTCACCCATGCTTGAGAGAGCAGCGTCCAGTCAGTGCCTGAGAAGTTGCTTTCCCAACCCTCTGGGCTGAGAATTCCTGTGGCTTCCATGTTTGCAGAGTCCAAAGTTACCCCTTCTTCCTTTTACTTTGTTTCTCTGACGCTGTGAACTTGGTTTTTTGGGGGCAGACTTTTAATGTTAGCTTTGCTGCAGGAGTTTATAGTCGTTTCTTAAAACCAACAAAATGAGAAACCTGTCTTAGCCTTGATCTGTTTTGGAACCCAAGCTAGCTCTCATCAGAAGCTTTGCAAAGGTGGCTCATTTCTCCTCCTGGGTCCTTGGTAATTGCTATTCTGTTATTAAAACCGAGTATCTATAAATGCCCTGGAGTGACAGAGCTGTGCCCAATCAGGCCTGCAATCAGACCACCCTGTGTTTTATGGACCCAGTGTCTTGGTGACCCAGAAGCCTGTCAAGGAGGGGGCAGAATTTTTGCTTTGGCTGCTAATTAAACTTTAAAAACCTTTTCTTTGTTGCTGGGCCAACCATACCACAATCTGATTGGCTAGAGTTGATGCTATTTGCAATGGGCAAATTTATATTTACTCTTTAAAAAAAATGAGCAGTCATTCAGAAAAGAGTAAATATTTATTTTAAAAAAGCAGAAGTAACTGACAAATGAGCAGATTGTCTGAAAATAGCATTATCCGGAAAACCTGAGAATAGGAAAAAAGTTGTCATCGCTGCCAGATATAACATTACTCACAGTTCAGAAGAGAAAATGGTGATATTAATGTCTTCCCTTAGATAACTCTTAGCCTTTGCACACTGCAGCTCCTTGGCATCCGTGATTCATGTTGTTTTGCCGAATACCTCAATGAGGGGAGGTGTCAGCGACTGCACTGTGTAGCACATTAACATGCGGGACTTTGAAGTTGTCCATCTATTTATTCATCGAGACATTTCCTGAGCATGCTTTATGTGTGAGGGACTGTTTTAGGAACTGAGCTAAAACAGATTAAGTTAACAGATAAAAAGTTCCTGCCTTTATGGACCCTGTAGCCTCATCAGCCGCAATGCCTGGATCCAAATGTTAGCTCTGCCACTGGTGGCCTGGCCTTGGGCAGGTGGGTCTTTCTTAGCAACTCTGTTTCTTCACGTGTGTAAGGGTGTTGTTGATGCTGCCGGAGACCACTTCTGTGAGGATGGACGTGGTGAGAGATGTGAGGTACTCAGCGTACAGCTTGGGCTCCCAAGCCACGACCACCAAGATCACGGTCATCCAGGCGGTGCCACTGGCTCTCTGGGGACCCTCCCTGAGCCTTTGCTTCTGGTTGCTTTGCTGGCATGCAACAGAGATCTGAGTGGCCTCTATCGTGGGTCTTTTCAGGTAGCAGGGCAGACTGGGGTTCCGTGGCCATGTTCTTGCCCTTGCTCAGCCTTCCTTTTATTTAGTTAGCAGCCACCCAGAACTAGCTCTTCTTCAAAAATAACTACTATTATCGTCCTGTTTTGCTCACCTGGGTGACAGACTAACATTTATTTCTCTCTTCCTCTTTCAGACTGTTTAGTGTAATTTTGGAACAATTAACCAAAGAAGCAGAAGGCGGGAACCACTCTGGTGGCAAATCAGGAGGCTTTGATGTCAAAGCCCTCCGCGCCTTCCGAGTGTTAAGGCCACTTCGACTTGTATCAGGAGTGCCCAGTAAGCACATTTTTGCTTCCTACCCCTGAAGTAATACCTTTTCCCTGTTGGGCGGGTCTCAGGGTCAGGAAACACTTCTCTGAGGTGAGTTTCCCTGTACCTCTGTACCTAGTGGGAGGCCAGCAGCAGCAGGCCTTCCTTGACACTGCAGTAGTCAAGCTTGCACTGCTGCTATGGATCTCTGGGGCTTTCCTGAAAGAACAACTGGTGGTGTTTATTGTCCTCTCTTCTCAGGTGGAGAGAGGCTGGGTGTCAGTGGGAGACCTGGGCTTCTGGCCTTCTGGTTCCCGTCTAGTTTTGCAGTTTGGTGATGTCGTGTGGTTTCTTCCTACTCCCTGGCCTGCCTCACCTAGTAGTGGTAGCTATCTAGCAGTTGGAGGGCTCTGAGTAGCGAGCACCAGGGTGGCTAGACTTCTGTAAACTCTTCTGGGCTCCACTGCTAACGATGACGCTTGTCACTCTCCGAGAAGAGGAGTACACTTGTCAGGTTCCACACCTGGACAGAGCATAGCACTGTCCTCTGTGATGATGGTATGAGAACCTCCCAAGACCGTAAAGGAAGACCCTGGTGTCTTCTAGTAGCTCGGCCACCTCATCCACAGCCTGGCCCCACCTGCTTTCTGACTTTGACCACTGGGCAAGTTGAGTGTCACCTGAGCTGGGAGGGAAGATACTTCCTTAAGAAGCCTGCTGACCTTTGCCTCATGAGCTCTGCCCTTGGAAAGACAGCATTTTCTGGGGTCTTGAGAATGTGGATAGACATCCTCAGACCTGTCCTAGCACTGGTACTTCTGAGGAGGTAGGGCACTCAGCTCAGGCAAGGATGCAGGACTTCTGGGCATACCCACTTTCCACAACTCACAAAGCCATTAGAACACTGATCATTTTCATGTCTTCATGAAGTTTTATTAAACCTTAGGCGATCAGAATGCACCAAACTCCTCTGGAAAAGAAATACTACATTTCCAAATTTAACATTTAAAATGTAGGAAGTGGTGTTTTAAGTGTAGTTATTTTTCCAGATGGTTCATTTATTTTCATTGAAAAAGATCAGTGCAAGTCAAAAAACCGCAGAACTGTCTGGAAGCAATTGAGAGAAATAGAAATACCTTGGCAATGGCTGACACTGTTAAGTGTAACATGATGAAATGAGAAGCTTAGTGAGCAAATATGCTCTTTCAGATTTAGTTGTCACAGCTTAATCTAATTTCAAAGTAACCATGACAGCCTTTTTCCCCTAAAGAGCAAATGACAGGACAGCCTGCCTGTGGCGTGTGCTGCATGCAGACTTGGAGCTGTGGCTCGTGTGGGCATGAGCGGCCCTCGCCAGTGAAAACTTTTGGAACTGGCCTGGCCTGGCCTGGCCTTGGCTCCTCGGTTTGAGGAGCTTTCTGCAGAAGGGTCAGCGCTCTCCACACTCTGAAGAACACTTTTCTGCTCTTCCTTCCTCCAGAACACAAGGCTGTTTACAAACTGTGGTGGTCTGTGGCTCACTCTCTTGTAGGTCACCAGTGAGAAACAAATCTCTGACCTTGAGCCCATCTTTTAGCTCAAGGAACATTTTCCTCAGATCCAAATAGGCTTGGGGAGAGGGGGAATCAAGGCTTCCAGGCCATGCTATTTTCAGCTGTAGACTTGGTGATTTCTTCTCCAGCACCTGAAACCATTGAAAATGCCCAGGAATGTTTGGCTATACTTATAAAGCATTGTCTTCTCACTAAATTATATATAAATTATATTCTGTAGAATGTAATTTTGTGTGTGCGTGTGTGTGTGTAACAGAGTAGATAGTCAAGGGAAAGACAACTGCATTCCAAAGGGGCATAGTTTAGTCATGTAGAATTATATTTTAAACTCTAGTACATTTTTTAAAAAAAATCTTTATATACACACATATACACGCACACGCACACGCAAGCCATGGCACACATTGTGAAGGACAGGAGTCAGTTCTCCCCAACTCCCACAGGGTTTCTCTGTGTAGCTTCGGCTCTCCTCGGACTCACTCTGTAGACCAGGCTGGCCTCGAACTCACAGAGATCCACCTGCCCCTGCCTCCCTGAGTGCCAGGATCACAGGCGTGCGCCACCGCTCCCAGCTCAGTTCTTTCCTTTTACCGTGTGGGAACGCCGGGCACCAGGCTTGGCAGCAGACTTATTTACCTGCAGAGCTATCTGACCAGCACAGGGCAGTGGTGGCATAGGACTTGGATCCCTGTGGGGAGTTCCAGTGAGTTCCATGATAGCCAGGGCTACACAGTGGAACTCTGTCTCGAAAAACAAAACAAAACAAAACAAAACATTATTGAAAATGATGTATTGTGGTGTAATTTATGGACTTTTGTGGACCTTTTTCGCCACCTACATTCTATTATTGGGTAAACATTTGTCAGAATCGATGAGCACCCGGTGTGGTGGTGCACATACTTAATCCCAGTACTTGGGATACAAAGTCAGGCGGATCCCCATGATTTCAAGGTCAGTCTGTCTACAGAGCGAGGACAGCCAGGGTTATATAGTGAGATCCTGTCCCAAACAAAATAAAGAACAAAACTAGAATCCAAGAGTGTAAAAATGGGAAAGAGTATTGAAGACCCTCTGGCCAGCTCTCACTGTCCCCCAGAGGAGCTCAGTGAGGCTAATTAGGAGATCATGACTTCTGAGCTCTCACGAATGGGAGAGCACACAGGGCCAGGTCTCCTCACCCTGACATGGCACCCTTCCCACGCCTTCATGGCATGCCTGTTGATTATGTTCCAAGGAGTGAATGTAATGAAAGCACATTTGCTCCGTTTGTGATGCAGCTTGATAGTGTCTTGTGAGTGTGGCCAGTCTGAAGTAGTTACACTAAACACAGATATATTCACGAGGCCAATGGCTCACTGCAGGAGAGTTTAAGAGCTAACTCTTAGGTGCTTTGGGGTGGCCCATCATGTCAAGAAAGAAAGAGGAAGGAAGAAAGGAAGGAAGGAAGGAAGGAAGGAAGGAAGGAAGGAAGGAAGGAAGGAAGGAAGGAAGGAAGAAAAAAGAAGGGAAGAGAAAGAAAAGATCAAAATAGTAGCCAAGAAGCTGCCCGTGTATGTGGGAGCCATTGCTTTACCCCTCTCTGTTTATTGCCTGCAATAGACAAAAATATTAAAAATCGTCTTCTTGGTCTTGTTTTTTGAAAGGAACCATTTAAAGACAGACCCAGAGTTTTAGCTGCAGAGAAGGCTTTAGGAAGACAGCCAGTGTCTTGCTGGCTGGGACTCCTCCATCCCCTCCTCCTTGCAGCCTGTCCCCTGCCTCCTCCCAAGCGAGCTCACCAGGGGAGATGTGCTCCTGTGGCCCCTAGGGTTCTTTTTTCTTGGCATATTCCAGCTGCTGCTTTGTTTTTAACTCTAGTTAACCTCAGCATTTTCTGTTTGTTCCTTCTTTCTTTGAATAAATACTGGGAAAATAAAAAGGGGAAGAAAGAGAAAATGAGTGAGTAACCTATTTAGAAGCTGAGGCCCCAGATGGTGGGGATAGTACAAGATACTAAGTGCTGAGCCAGGAAGCCAGGAGTCTAGCACAGGCTCTGGGTTCCTGCCTCTCCTTCCTTCTATCCCCTGCTCACTGTTACTGAGTCTTTTCCCGCAGCATCTGTACCTGCACCACAGCTCTGAGTTGTAGTGGAGTCTCTCATCTCTCAAGCCCACCTTTTAGCTGCAGGACCCTGTACCCTCATGTTATGCTGAGTAGCCAAACCCAACCTTTCTAAAGTTACTCTCAGCCTTCTGCTGTCCCTGCTTGCCTCCTCTATGCTAGAGGGACTGCCTTTGGAAACACTTGGAGGGATTATTTTCTTTGGGGGGGGGGGCTATCAGGACAACTGTAATTTGCCCCTGACCCTGGCTGAAATCACTGAAACACTAAGGCACATTCTCTTCATTACAGCCTGCAGTTGACGTGAGGCCCCATGTCTCTGCATCCTCCCTGGAGTCCCACTTTTCTTGAGTCGTATCTCCGCCTTTCAAGCTTACTGCTGTACACTTGCTTTCTCTGAAGCAACTTTTGCTAATTGACTTTTGCTAATTGACTCTGGACCAAAACATCAAAACCCAGAATGTCATGGCTGACCCTCTCTTTGCTGATGGCCTTTCTGAGGAGCTGTGATGGCACCCTGCTCCAGTTCACACTGTGCATACTTACTTCTATGATGGGTTCTGTGCCCAGGCTCAGACAAGTGGGAAGCTCTTCAGGTCCTCTGTCCTCACCCTCTGCAGAGGCAGTGTTTTTATTCCTCTTCCGTTTTCTGTTTGCTGATGCTCGGGCAGTGTTTGCACACTACATAAGAGTAACTTATATTAAATTCTTATAGTTCCTTTTAGAGTGTAACCTCTTTGAGAGGGCTGCTTTGTCTGCTTTGTCTTTCTGTTGCTCAGAGCACTAACCCCCATGTTTTGCATAGAGTAAACACTCAGGTGGTTTTGCTAAATGGGTACAAAAATCAGTGCATACATGAATGGATAATTTGAATACTAGTTATCCCTCTCTGTGTCTCTGGGTCCATCTATCTAGTGAAAGAGTTGGAGTAAATGATCTTTAGGAGTTTCTTTTTAGCTCGTCTCATGTCCAGGCTTACTGTTAATTAACAGCTTTGAATATCTCCAAAGTTTATTACTGTATGTCGTCAAGAGAGCAAGCAGCATTAGGATTTATATTTATAGCTCATTTGAAGTATCTTCCTAACCCACAAATGAAATTTTTTTTTCTCTCCTAGGTTTACAAGTTGTTCTGAACTCCATTATAAAAGCCATGGTCCCCCTCCTTCACATAGCCCTTTTGGTATTATTTGTAATTATCATCTATGCTATTATAGGATTGGAACTTTTTATTGGAAAAATGCACAAAACATGTTTTTTTGCTGACTCAGGTGAGTAATGACAGTAATTATTAACCTAACATGAAAATGTTTTGGCTTTTTTGGAGGAGGTACTGCTGTCCTAGCCTTTTCCCCATCTGTTCCCTCTTTCTGTGTGAATTATGTTGGGGATAAATGAGAATTTATTCTGTTTTACCATCCCAATTTCTTATGGAATGTATCCTAGAAGATAAGATGGGGGCCTGCATGAGGCGAAGCAGGTTACACCTTTCTCTGTCAGCCATGGGTGGTGGGTGACTAGAAGAAACTAAATTGCGCTGGTGAGGAGATACTCCAGTAGACCTTAGGGGGTAGTTGAGATTCTGAGGTGGCAAGGGTACCAGTGTTGGGTGTTCTGGGCTTGAGCGAGGGCCCTGGTGTTCCTTTTCTTAGTGGTACCTCTGCTTCCTCTCTCTCTAGATATAGTAGCTGAAGAGGACCCAGCTCCATGCGCGTTCTCAGGGAATGGACGCCAGTGTACCGCCAATGGCACGGAATGTAGGAGTGGCTGGGTTGGCCCCAATGGAGGCATCACTAACTTTGATAACTTTGCCTTTGCCATGCTCACTGTGTTCCAGTGCATCACCATGGAGGGCTGGACAGACGTGCTCTACTGGGTAAGCAGCTCTAGGAGACTTCACAGCATGCTGGTTGGTCCCTTAGTGAGGGCAGCTGGCTGAGAACGGAGCCCCGGAGGTCAGTTCTTCGGGAAGGGAAGCAGACCTAGACCTTCTCTTCACGTGGTGACCCCCCCCATCCTGCTCTAGAGAAGAACCCAGCACTGAAAGGCTAGTGCCTGGCCTTTCAGTCCTCACCCCCCCCAGTGCTTCTAGATGGCTTGTTCCTAACCGTAGTTACTCCTGCCCACTAATGTCCTCTGGGACCTTGAGGAGGCCAGGGCCGCCCTGATTAAACTCAGAGAGCTACAGTGACATTTCCCAAGGAAGAGGCCCCTGGATGCCCAGAGTCTATACATGAAGGCTGTTATTTTATGAGATCCTAAATGGGACCTGGGGAATCAGGGCCCTTTCATGCACCTCATAGCTTTATGTGACCGTAGCTCACCATTAATTTTTCTTCTATTTACTTCCCTCCTGTATCCCCAGAATCACTTCTAGCCAGGCTTGGAAATGCTCTGCCTCCACTCCTCTCTCTTTTGAGTCAAAGAGCTCCAGCAGACATAGTAGAAGAGTCAAAGTGCCAGGTGATGGCCTCTTGGTGACTGGAGTCTGATTACTCTTGTTCCTGGCAGAGCCCGAAGGGTTTGCTATATATAAAGTACAGCAGCCATTTCTCCCAGTGGCTTTGTTTGTAGGTAGAGTTTTTAAAGCTCACAGAAACCTAGAAACCATTTTTACCCCATAGTGAGGAGTTGCTGGGGAATACAGCTAACAGATTTTTGAGCCCAGATTTAAATAGGTCAAATTAGTATTCTAATAGGGCATTGTTTTAGAGCTGTGGCTCTCGGTCTGCGGGTTGCAGGCCCTTTCCGGTTGGATGACCCTTTCATAGGGGTTGTGTACCACATGCCCTGGATCAGATATTTACATTACAATTCTCAATGAGAGCAAAATTAGTTATGAAGTAGCAATGAGAGTAATTTTATGGTTTGGGATCACCACAGCATTAGCAAAGTTGAGAACCACCAGTTTAGAGGAATAGGTAGCGTCTACGTAAAAGGCTTAGAAATGGAGAAGCTGCCTCAGATAGTGCCTAAATCCTAAAGGTGACAAGGTTTCCTCTCACCGCCTTCAGAGAATGCACCACTGGATGCTTGGCCATGGGCTTTGCTTCCCTTCACTGGTGAACACTATGCTTGTGAGACTGTAGGTGTTCCTGTCCAGCCGACCCTCCGCATCTAGAGATCCTGCATCCATAGGTTTAAGCCACATTTCATTGAACCAAATGCAGGTTTGAAATAATTCAGAGGGGAAAAGGCATCTGCATTGGATATGTTCAGACTTGTTATGTAATCAGTCTCTAAACACTATAGTATAATGATTATCTAATGCTATTAGGAATTAAAAGTGGCCCAGAGATGATCTGTGTAGATGGGGTATGTGGCTATAGTTCAGACGAAAATACTGTGTTATCTTCATCTAAGGGGCTTGAACAGCTTCGGCTGTGGCTGGTCTCTGTAGATACTGAGGGTCGACAGTGTATTCTGTTAAGTGAGAATGCGTATCACCTGCATGCTATGGCTTCTTTGTCCTTCATCTCTTTCTCTGTGTGCGCGTGTGCGTGTGCGTGCGTGTGCGTGTGCGTGTGCGTGTGCGTGTGTGTGTGTGTGTGTGTGTGTGTGCGCGCGCGCATGCGCGCATCTGTAGACACAAATGTTAATTATAGCCATGGGCACTACTTTTCATGGAGAGGAAGGATGGGCATTGTTAGGAATGGAGCTCCTGGTTTGGGTAAATTGTTGATTTTCACTTGTGTCACCTACATTGCAGCTCCTGAGCAGAGCAAAGCCTCGGTTCCAATCTCCCCTCAAAATGGCTGCTAAGCAGAGTGCAAGATCCACAGAAGTCCAAAGTCTGGTTTTCCCTCCCCCAAACAGCAAGGAATTTTTTTTTAAGTGAAAGTCTGTGACTTTCTCAGTTTTGTCTTCTATTTTCATGGTGAATTGCCAGATGTTGATCCATCATGCCTTGACTAATAGACAATTTTATAGTATATCTTACATTTTTGCACATTGATTCTCTCACAGCAATTATCCTGCTGTCATGCAGAGAAAATTTCAGGACTGTGTGACCACAGAAGAGAAAACTCCATGCACCCAGAAAAAGCAGTTTCCATGTGCTTCTCTGAGAACTTTTGAGTTTCACTTGTGATGATGAAATCCTTTCATGTTGTTCTGATGATAAAATAGTTGATAATTTGACAATTTAATTACATCCTCTATGAATTACATAACACCTTTGTTATGATGGAGGAGCACCTGTAATTCCTCAACATTACTCTGGTCTCTATCCCTTCAGAGGAGACCTGAGATCTTGAAGCTGGAGAAGTGGAGTATAAAGAGACCCTGAGCTTTCTCAGGTCCTCCAACAAGTGTTTGTATTTCCTGATTAAGGGCAGGGATCTGCCAACTTTTTAAGAGTAAATGTGTTTGGCCTTGAATGCAAGTGGTCCCCATTCCAGCCATCAACTCTGCCATTGAGCTTGGAGCCAGCCATGGTGTAAGTGTAACTGAATGGATATTGCTGTCTTGGCTGGCCTTCCTCTATGGGGCCTGAAATCTGAACTCCCTATGACTTTCATACATCATAAAGTGTTCTCCTTTTTACCTCCCCCTGCAACCACTTAAAAATATGAAGCCCATTTTTAGCTCTTGAGAATCATGTAGAAGAAAAGTAGATTTGGCCTTCAGGTAGTTGAGGGACTGCTGGCCTAGATTGGAGCCCAGTCCACTTTCCTTACTATTCATCTACTTGCCAGTGGTTTACAGATCCTTCTACAACACTAGGGGGCAGCTGAGTAATGTCCTCTAGACCATCTGAAACACATCGGGATTGTTTTTAATCAGTGTTCATTGTGTTTATTAGCTCATCATAGAGCTAGGCAGAAGCCTGTGAGCTAAGCTCTTCCAGTATTTTATGGACCACAATCAGCTGGAAGATTCTGTGTCCTAGGACATGACATCTCTGCCCAGAGCCTGGCCTAGAGCAGGTGCTCAACAAATAAACATGACTGTTGCCATTCCTCAACTCATCGAGCCCATTGCCTGATTGGTATAGATGGGCATGTCGGAGTATTTTTCTCCACTCTCTTGGGAGACTTCTTGGGAGACTCTTGGGAGACTCTGTCTTAAATACTGATTGCAAGCAAGCTTTTCAGTGTTTTGACTTTTGTATGTGGTGGACAAAGTCTCTGCCTCTGGACAAGTTTCTGTTTAGCCAGCGTTCTCCAGCGCACTTAGGTCAGCATTCTCAAGAGCGTCTGGCAGGGTCTGGGAAAGGTGTGCGCAAAGGCACACCTGGTCAGAGCTATTTGGAGGTGTCAGGAGTTGGGCTCAACAACTGCTGGTGGGAGATGCAGTGCAGATTTTTCTTGAGGTGAGCTCCACAGACTATCTAACGTGCTGTTTGGCTTGCAGAGCTGTCCTGTCCATAGGGACAGTAGTGCAGTGCAGAGAAGGAGCTGGAGAGGCAGGTTCCCAAGTCCCTCTGGGCTCGCATGTCCTCATCGATAAGACGCGCAATTAGATGACATGATCTTTTTTCTTCAACATAGAGGAGTTTGTTTGTTTATTTCAGAGGAAATGTCTTGAATGTAGGAAATTAATGGCAAAGTGTTGGTTTGAGGAGAGTGCTGTCCATCTGAGTGCCCCTATGGCCTCCTGTGTTGGCATCAAGCTGTTTCTTCAGGGGTGCATGGCGCTGTGGAGGTGCTTCCCGATGGACCTTAGTTGGAAATACTTGAGATCACCTAACAGCCCCTCTCAGCCAGAGGACCTGGGAAATTCTTCTGTGTCCCAGCAGCCAAGGGCTGGCCTTTTCCACGGTCCATGCTTTGAGGCATTCCAGCAGTTTCCAAGAATTACACAACCCCAAAAGCCTTACTCTTTCCTTTACCTTGAGGCATACATGGGCACGTAAGCCTCTAAAATAAGAGGAAACTGAAGCGACATAGAAAATTGTCTTGGGTGCCAAGTGGCCCTCTATGATGTGGCTGACATAAATGCTTTTAAAATTAATCTAAATCGAAGTGCTCTCCCTCGAGCTGGTGCCTCTGTTGTTGATGAGGAGCATGCAGACAGAGCCCTGGGTAGATTGTGTGTCTTTAACATGGATACGTGGGGGACCAGCCCAGCATTTGCAATTTTTCCCTATGTGTATGACAAGCTTTAAGGACTCGGCTCTGTGGCAGGTGTGTGGAGAGAAAGACTAGCCCTGACAGCTTAAGTTTCATCTCTCCTGGCCAAGAGAAGAGGTGCTGCAGCTGGTTGTGTTTAGCTCCTGCCTGCCCTCACTCCTCTTCAGCTGTCCTTCTGGGTGGCAGTGATTTCAGAGGATAAAGTCCACAGACCGCCCACCCCCAGGGAGTTGAGATAAGATGTTCCCTCTACAGCGAAGCAGAAAGCTGTTACCAGAGCCCTATCCTGACACACTCTTGAGGTGTGAGGAGGTCAGTCGAGGCAGGTGGCCAGTCTCAAGAGTGAGGTGTCTAATGGGAGCCATGCACTAGGCCACTCTCTCCTCTGCCACGTACATACGCCGCTCCAGCAGAGGCTAGACATTTCTGTCAGGTGTTGATTCAAGGCCAAAGTTCTGGCCGTCAAACAAGGCAACCTGTTTCTTCCCTACATGTGGGTTTTTAAATAAGTTTGGCAGTGTAGTTGCTTTGGGAGAATTACCCTCTGCCTTCCTGCTGAAATTAGTTTATCCAACTTAATTAGATCAACAATTGGAGCCATGGCCTCAGCTCATTCATTCCTCTAATTGCTGATGTGAAGATGGATAGGGGTTCTATTAAGCACATCAGTGTTCTTGTGGCCAAACAGGTGTTTCATAATGCCCTCTCCCTAGATTCCAGCAACAGATGTTAGGTAATTTTTTTTAATGTTCCCTTTTCCTGTTTGGCTTCTTCATGAGGCAAACATTGTGAAATGCGTGAGCCTCTTTCTGTAAAGCTAAAAGCTGGAAGCAGATAATGTGCAAAAAGGCACAGGGCTTAAAACCCTAAGGGTTTGCACCTGCTAGACAAGAGCAATGGGCCTGTCCGTATTATGGAGTGGCTGAAGATTCAGGCTGCTCCTGTAGAGCAGGGCCTGGAGCCATCTATTCTGTTACCTGGTTGGTCCTTAAAATCGCCTCCTCAGTGAGGAACAGTTCGGGGTTCAGTCCCCCACCCCACCCCCGGACACTGACCTGTGCTGCTGGAAAGTTCCATCCAGCTGTTCAAGCTGTTCACCCCCAGACCTTCCCTGGGAAGCCTGACAAGGAGGCCATGCCCGAATGAGCAGCCGAACGCCTCCAACTAGAGTCAGGTGCTCTGCTGCCCCAGGCCTGCCTTTTTGAACACCTGTCACGTCACAGTTGGGGTGGAGCAGATATCCGTTAAAGCCAGGTTCTTTTAGTGGGCACAGCTGAGGGGGTTTGGAGGGAAACAGCTCCCAAAACACCCCGGAACACACGTCAGCTGTGACCTCAGAAATATTTTCTTGTTTCCGTGTTTACTTAGAAGTACTAAATAGTCATTCATTTATTCCATATTGATCTAGTTCACTGGCTGCAGATAATCTAAATCTAAGATGGGCCTGGTTTCCTTGGGTAGGTGGAAAGGATGATTGCCTCCAGATAGACAGTGGTTATTTTAGATTTATTTCTTTATTTTTCGAGTGGGTCTCACCGTGTGGCTGGCTGGGCTGAACTTTAAGTGTAATCCAGGCTGGCCTAGAACTGCAGAGAGCCATCTGCGTCCTGGGTGCTGGACCAAAGACATGTGCCACCATGCCAAACTAGTTTTTCCTTTTTTAAGAGTTTATAGAGTCAGATGTTACAGGTTTGACACTACAATGAAGACTTTTCCACCAAATTTTAAAAGCAGTTAGGACTGACACCTGGGGTGGAGCAGCAGCCAGGACCCAGGGAAACACTGGCTCTGTCTTCTCCTGAGACTCCTGGAAACTGCTCTTCAGGGCAGTGTCCAGATCAGAGCCAGGCCTCATTCCCCTATGTGGGAAATGCTGTTGGCCTGAAGCCTCCATGAGTCTTCATTTGTGTGTACAGGCATGCACGTGTGCCTGTGTGTGTTGAGAATGCGAAATGAATGTCTGCTGGCTGCTGCTGTCTCAGTCTAAGGAAATGCCTAACTCAATGTATAGAATTTCTCTCTAACGTGATCCTCTCTCCTTATTAGATTCTCCTATTAACCCACTCCTGTGAGCCTGTCTTATTTCTTACAGATGAATGATGCTATGGGATTTGAATTGCCCTGGGTGTATTTTGTCAGTCTCGTCATCTTTGGGTCATTTTTCGTACTAAATCTTGTACTTGGTGTATTGAGCGGGTAAGCTACATCTCTTTCATCTTGAAAGCAGAGTCCTGAGGACAGGTGCCAAGACCACACAGGCTTTGCTAGATGGGCCAGTGGGGTGGGTACCAGTCCCTTTGTATTGCTTGCTCTTCTACTGAGGCTTCCCAAACCAGGCTGGCTCCTGGAACCTCACCAGCTGTCATGAAAAGAAAGCCATGGAGAGATTATTGACCAGGAATTAATTAATCAGTATTGTTGCTTGGGATTTAAATAATTTCCCTTGCCTTGGTCTTTTGTGTGTCCTAAAGTGAGATACATTTATAATTGCTTTCTTGGTCTGGATCCAAATACAATGCCCATTAATTGGCACGAAATTGTAGCTGACTGAGTTGTCTGGGCTGACTTCGTCCAGTCCCTTCCTGAAGATTTCGGCCTCAGGGTTTACTCTGCCCTGAGGGAAACTGTGTAAGGGTCCATGCTCATCTGCGCCCCTTCCCTAGAGTGCTGACCTTCAACCCAAGCCCTGAGTGGTCCTGCAGCTGCGGTCGGGGCTCTGTTCTTTGCTAAATGGATAACTGATAACTGATCTTCTTACATTTTACAGGTAAATGATGCGATAGGATGGGAATGGCCATGGGTGTATTTTGTTAGTCTGATCATCCTTGGCTCATTTTTCGTCCTTAACCTGGTTCTTGGTGTCCTTAGTGGGTAAGCAGTTGGATCTGTGTTGCACATTTTCCTGCTGCCACGTGGGAGGCAGTCCTGCGTGTCTCCCAGCTGCTCCCCGGTGGCTTCTCTGCATGCCTTTGGACTCTGTTGTCCCCTCTGTGTGTTGCTTTTGGATTGAATTGTTATTCTTTCTGCCTGTATCTGTCTGTGAGATTCTGTGTTTCTGATGCTTGCCAAGCACTGTTAACTTGACGAAAATGTTTCCTTTGGAGGTGAATTACAAGCAAGCAAAAGGCTTCCTAGCCTTGCTCTTCACCCAGGGAGGAACTTTGATCTTTTGTGGATTTCATTCCCTTAGTACATGACCTGGCCCTCTTGAGCCATTCTCAGCACGTTATAAATAGTGGTGTTTCAGATTTTGTGGTAAAGCCTAGATCAGTACATAAATACCTGGCAGTCTCCACATCCACCTTCCTGAGATTGGGACCCTCTGTTAGCTTGACTTGTCGCTGCTGTCACTGTGTGAGTTAAGATTCAGTGTTCATCTTCTCTTAATACAGAATGATATTTAGCTTTTACACACATGTTCCCTACAGCCTTATTGTCTCCATCATTTGGTCACCATTTTAAAAATTCATTCTGTTGAATGCCTAGCTCTGGACTTCCCCTCCGTCTGTCAGGTTTAGATGGGCCTGGGAAGGCTATGTGCTGTGGGGTTGTGCTCTGCCATGGTGGGAGATGGTATTCCAAAGCCCCTGTGGGCAGAGGTGGATCTTAGAATCTCTGTGGCACCCCAGAAAGTGGAGTCCCCCCTCAAAGCAGGCTGGGGGCTCTCTCAAAAGCAGCTGCCTATGGGGGAGTTTGATTCTGGCCTGAAAAACACTACAGGGTTCTCATCATTAATCCTCCCTATTTAATTATATTGTGTTGTTGCCTTATTGTTATAGAATAAAATATTTAATTAAAAATTGTATTAAATTTTAAATGAGGTTACTAAAAATGCTTTGCCTTAAGAGTTAGACACGTACTGTTTATAGTCTGTACAATGTGAAAATTTAAGAAATAGTAAAATAGCCAACCTTTAACTCAAAACAAAGGCACATACACACCATCAGTTCCAGCATGCGGCCATTACCGTGAACAGCCCAAAGCTGTTTATACCCTCTCCCCCTCACCCAGACATTCGCAGGAAATCACACTGATGGGCTTGATCCTAAATGAGTTTAACTGCTCGCTCGCTTTATCTTGCTCTTTCAGAGGCTGTGTCTCAGGGACATGATGTCTTCATGTATGCTGAGTTAGTAAATTGAGCTTTATCTTGGTTTTGGGAGATGCTGCCTTTTGCAGAGCAGAAGGCAGAGCCCTGTTATCCACCATGACTCCTTTCTTCAGTCTCCTTCAAGCCTGGCTTGCCACTGAGTATGGTCAGTGCCCTAGAAAGTCCGTTATTTGCAAGTGCCCCCCCCCCCCCCCCGTGAGAGGAGTAGGACCTGAGGACTGAACTGGGGAAATGGCACCCAGCACCTGGGCTCTCTAGGTGCTGAGACTGGGAACTTTAAAAGGCCTTCCGCCTTGACTTTATCGTTCATTTTAGTTTCCTTCCTTCCTTCCTTCCTTCCTTCCTTCCTTCCTTCCTTCCTTCCTTCCTCCTTTCTTTCATTTTTGAATCAGGGCCTTAACTCTGTAGCCCAGGCTAGCCTGGAACTCACTGGAACTAACCCAGACGAGCCTTGAACTCATGATGATTCTGCTGAGTGCTGGGATTAAAGGCACAGGCCTCCATGCCCAGCTATAAGACCTTCCTCCTTTTGAGCGTGTGTGGCCTGAATTTGGGGTCAGGATAGCGAGTGTGGCAGCTACACTTGGAGAAGCTTTGCCACAGGAACTACCCATACAAGGCCAGCAGCTGCAACTGTGTTGTGAGTTCCTTGGCGCCCCGTGTCTCCGTAACCCAACTAAACTGACGGAGGCCATGGAAACCACTAATTTTAACAGTGCCAGTGACGTGCCTTATCTTTAGTTCCCTTTCCCTGGGCAGGAGCTGTTGCCCCAGCATGATGAAGCAAAGATACAAGCCAGCCAAATCATGAGGTGTTTAAAACCACTAAAAGCAGAAGATAGGGGCAGGGGCCCAACACGCAGCATCAAAGGAAGAACTCAAAGCCAGAGGTCTAAAAGAGCACACAGTCTAACAAAACAGTTTACTGAGGTAGATCTTGAGGGAAAAAGAAAACTATGAAGAGAAACCAAAAGATATTTGAATGTTAAAAAGCAAACCTAAGGCTTCCCAGTGATTTTAGCTGTCAGCTCATGCCGTGCCCAGACTCCAAGGGGGTACACTCCTTCTTTCCTCCCCTCCCATCCCACAGGCCGCTTTGTTAAGAAATGCTGAGGCAGGCTCCGAGTGGAGTCAGAGCTGGATCTGCAAAGCTCCTTGGTCGGCATTCTCCCAGTTCCTGACGAGGGCCTGGCTCTGGGCCAGAGGCCAGGGGTGCCAAGGTGTCTAATACACAGACTCTGGCCCTGGGCTCAGGCTGGAGCCCAAGCTGTGTAGCAAGTGCCACAGCTGGGAGGTGGGGGCTCTCAGGGGAAGCTCCTGGACCCTCCTGCCTCTACCATCTCCCAGGGTCCCTGCACTTCTCTGCCTGCCCATGCCCCTCTTGTTTTCCCATTTGCGTTTTTGTTGTTATTGTTATAGCACATTTTAAAAAAATGTTAGTTTAATCTTAAGATTCTTCACAGTTTTTTAAAGGAATGTTATAGTTATTATAAAGCTAGAAGAACACAAAATGCTGGAAGGCATTTCTATGGCATAGCCTTCCAGGGCTTCGAGACTTACAGGTGTCATCTCAAAAAACAAACAAAAGGAAACAAAACCCCTAGGTTCCAAGTGTCCAATGGTGGGGATTTCAGTCAAGGCCTCATGCATTATTGCCTTCTAATGAGGACTCGCTAGGTTACAGTGACAGTTCATGTGTCTGGAACTGAGCTCTTTTCTTTTTTAAAATTTTTTAGTGTGTGTGTGTGTGGGGGGAATGTGTGTGGTGTGTGTGTGTGTGTGTGTGTGTGTGTGTGTGTGTGTGTGTGTTTGAGACTGTTCAGGCTAGCCCTACCTCAGATGGGTTGTCAGCCTCCTTTTGGCCGTCAGAGTTCTGGGGTGCTAAGTGTGTACCAAGGTGTCCAGATGTTAACCCCTTTTTAAACACTGGCTTATGCTTTCATTGTTCCTTCCTTTATGTATGGCCCTGGCATCCTGTTGTATCTTAATCTACACCATAGATTTGGGGTTTGCACATTTTTAAGACATTTGTAGGCTGGGTTTTTTGTTTTGTTTTGTCTGTTTTGTTTTGTTTCCTCCCCAAGGCGAGACCGAAGCTCATGAATTTTGTGCCATATGAGGATGGGTACAGATGACACCATCTTCGCTTGTGGTGCTTTGTGGGAAGAGCTGCGACATCAGTAGCTAGTGCTATGGCTTAGCATCTTGTTGTTCTTGAAGGAGTGATCCTGTGATGGACAAAAACCTAAAAAGACTGCTTCCTTTACGTCTGAGGTCCAGATAGCCTGTGTGTCTTATCCTCTCTCTCCGACATTTTAGAAATGTGGGGACTGCTCAGTTTTAAGGCTGCTCCCTTAAGTCCTGGCCCTGTCAAAGTTTGCCTCAGTGTATATAAGTGGTGTCTGGATTGCCACAGGGTTCCCCAGGGGACAGTGGTACTCACGGGTAGGAATTCGCTTCTCTACTTTAGGATCTCCTTGCCATCTGCCACACCTCTGAGGTGTCAGGTCTGAGTGGTCTAGGGAGACAACCTAGGCTCCTGAAGTCGCAAGGAAGCCCAGACCTGGTCCCACCAGTATGCCGTGTTCACAATGGATCTCGGTCACTCTGGTCTTTAGGCTTGTCTTCCTAATACAGAAATAATCCTGTCTTGCTCCATGCCTCACAGGTGGCTTGAAGTCAGCTAATGAATATAGAACTGCGTAAAAAAAAAAAAATATATATATATATATATATATATATATATATTTCAAGGTGTTTACTCATCTAGCATAGCTAACCTTCAATCCACAGATCTTTCCCTACTCCCTCACAGCCATAATGGTGAAGTGGGGACAGTTGAGGTGGCTCTGTGGAAATTCTCAAGGGGAGAATTTTCTGCATTTTCCAGAAAGTGGTATGCTGTACTCTCTGCCACTAGGAGATGGCATGGGGCATGGGAGTTCTTTGTCAGTTGTTAAGTATTTTGTATGCAGACTAAAGTCATTGTTATTGGCATTGTACATGTGAAGGCTCTCTTCTCCTCTGCATCAGTGGCAGGAATGACATTTCTGAAAGGCAGGGTTCGAGCATGCCAGCTCAAATAACTACAATCTGAGTCTGCTCTGCCTTTTACCATTTATGTGATTTAGGTCAAATTCTTCCCTCTTTGAGATGACTTTCCTCATTGGTGTGTCTGAATGTGCAGCTAATTTCGGTTCCAATCTTGTGGGGGCCAGGGAGCCTTCAGAGAACTACAAAATGTAGATCCTTTGGGGGCAACTACCAGAAAGGTTCTAGGAAGAATAGCTAAGTGATCTGGAACAAGACAAGCTGGCCTTTCTAAGCCAGTTAATAGCAGTTGGTCAAGATAGGTTTGTATTAGTGAAAAATCAAAGCTATATAATACATTTAAATGTTTCATTATATAAGTATGTAAATGGTATAAGCCAATCGTGTCTAAAATATATTACTACATAAACTCCCTCCTGGGCCTTCTTGAATAATAGGGTAAAGTCATTTGTCGTTGGTCTGGGAATTCAAGGCTTTTGCTAACATCTTACAAAAAATATTTGAAATAGTTCTTGTGAAGCAGTCTTTGTATGTTGTCAGGCAATAAACGTTCTTCATTAGTACACTGTCAGGACATAAAACTAAGTGTAAACTGAGCCTGTGTGTCTGGAACTTCAGACTCAGTCGGCTCTAAATTAATTTTGTGTATATGTGTCTGTGTATCCTGGTAAGCCTCAGTCTACCAAGTGACAGACTTCTTTTAAACTCA